CTAAATCCTGCTGTCAGCTGAGGTCACTGAGCTGGATCGGGCTCTAGAGAGATCCTGACTTTATTGTCAGGATCTACCCAAATGCCTGACTGGTAGCTAACTCAGCCTTTCAGCGAGCTGCTGAGAGCCTGAGCCAGCAGCTCCCACCCCCTCCACAGCTCGATGCTCCAGTGAGCCCTGGAGGGGCAGAGCAGTGAGCCGGCAGCTCATTGTCCCTGGCTCTCTGCTCAATGAAGTCCAAGCACTGAGCAATCAGTGGTCTTTGATCACTCAGTTCTTGGTCTTAGAGCCAGTGGGGGATAGATCCAGCATCCACCTAGGGAAGGATGTGTGCTTGTTTTTTTTTTTAATTCCTGAAATTCTCTTTTAAAGTCTTGAGCCTTGTACACGTGATGAGAATATCAGACGAATGATCGTCCTTTTTTTTTTGCATACTAGTCTCATGTCGAAAAAGAATAGATTACTAAAGTTACAAAAATTCTCGTAAAACAGAATACGACATTCTGCAATGATCTAATGTAATTGTATTGTATTGTAATGTATTCTTTCAATTCCGAGCATGCGTGGTCTTGGTCGCTCGATTTTTTTTTACGGACAAATACTGTCCTGATTAAACAATAATCCTTCTTTTATATAAAGTGCGTGTGAGCCACTAGAACACTAATATAATTTAAATTGATAAATTGTGATAATTAATTATGTGTACTATTATGGTTCACTGACACTCATACACACACTCCTATTGATGTGTTAATCAATTCAAAATTTAAAATACAACTGTGTCGCGCTCCAAATATATGAAAAAAAAATTATAATTAAATAATCCTACAAGTGCTTAATTTGTAATTAAGCACATTAATAAGGGGATTAATTTTATTACAATTATTAAATATAAATTTTAAACTTGTAAGATTATTTAATTATAATTTTTTTTTATATATTTGGAGCGTGACACAGTTGTATTTTAAATTTTGAAACAATAATCGTTCGTTCTGTTATTGTACTAGAAAAAAATGTTGTGTTTGTCCCTTCAGATAATTTGCATGAATTTCCTGACCGGCTCTAGAAAGCTGTGCACCGCCACCAACGATCAAATTATTGGCTGATTGCTCCGAAAGCAGTTTTTTTTTTTTTTTGTCCAATTTACTCATTGTGTGTACCAGGCTTAAGCGACTAGACACAGAGAGGAAAAAAACAGTTTTGGCCAGAAGTTGTGAAGATTCCTTCTCAAGGTCATCCGACTAAGGCAAGTATAAAGAAGAAATGTAAGAAAGGTGGAGTCAGTTGGTAAAAAGTATAAGTTTCACACTGTGATTTAGAAAATAGAAAGATTTTCTTAAAATTGATGATCTGATTACATCCAACTTAGAACAATACAGCAAAAGCAGCAAAACTAATAAAAAATAATCCAGCTGTGGAAAGCTTGGACGCTGTAGACGTTGTCCTTGAAGTCTCACCGCTGGGGACAGTGGACGACCCGTCCCTTCCGACACTGGTCGTACCAGGAGCCACGGTGGACTCTGTTGTTGCAGAGGACAGACCTAAAAGAAAAAAAGTCCTTTTATTATAACAATTAGCTCTGTGTTCCGTGCATGTAGTATGAATAGCGTAGATACTTCCATACATCTCTGGGATTATGCAACCCAAACTTTGAACAGCTCTTGGTCAAATTTCATAGACGAGTGTACAGCTAAATGCATTTTAAAACAAAGGAGTATGAAATTTAGTCCAACAGAGAAATGGAGGGGGATCCACAGAGAAATGGAGGGGGATCCACAGAGAAATGGAGGGGGCTCCACTGAGAAATGGAGGGGGCTCCACTGAGAAATAGAGTGGGCTCCACTGAGAAATAGAGTGGGCTCCACTGAGGTATCGAGTTGGCTCTACTGAGAAATGGAGTGGGATCTACTGAGATATTGCATGGGCTCTACTGAGATATGGAGTGTGATCCATTGAGAAATGAAGTGGGTTCTTCTAAGAAATGGAGTGGGCTCCACTGAGATATGGAGTGGGATCCATTGAGAAATGGAGTGGGATCCACTAAGAAATGGAGTGCGTTCCACTGAGAATGGAGTGGTATTTACTGAGATATGGAGTGAAATCCATTGACAGAATGGAGTGGGATCCACTGAGAAATGGAGTGGGCTCTACTGAGAAATGGAGTGGGATCCACTGAGAAATGGAGTGGGTTCCTCTGTGATATGGAGTGGGCTCTACGGAGAAATGAAGAGAAGAAATGCAGAAGAGAAAGGACAGCTATAATTTTTTGGCAAGACCAACAGGTATCTCTTTGCACACAGAAGACAGATAACAAAATGCTTCCAATGCTAAATTTAACAGATTGAAAAGGAACAAAAACAGGAGTTCACCGTTCGGGTCTATAGACACCGGACACTAGATGCTCCAACTGTTCAGTAACACATGGAGCAACGAGTACTCCTAAGCCACAGTAATACATAAACCAAGTTTCTGTTAAAGAAAAGTATATTTTGAGAAGGTGCTCATTAGGAGTTGTAGGCGGAGAAGTCACATTGGTCACCGCTAATGTTAAGTTCTCTGTTGGAGGACTTGTGTTGGGAGGACTTGTGTTGGGAGGACTTGTGCTGGGAGGACTTGTGTTGGGAGGACTTGTGTTGGGAGGACTTGTGCTGGGAGGACTTGTGCTGGGAGGACTTGTGTTGGAGGACTTGTGTTGGGAGGACTTGTGTTGGGAGGACTTGTGTTGGGAGGACTTGTGTTGGGAGGACTTGTGTTGGGAGGACTTGTGTTGGGAGGACTTGTGCTGCGAGGACTTGTGTTGGGAGGACTTGTGTTGGGAGGACTTGTGTTGGAGAGGACTTGTGTTGGGAGGACTTGTGTTGGGAGGACTTGTGTTGGGAGGACTTATGTTGGGAGGGACTTGTGCTGGGAGGACTTATGTTGGGAGGACTTGTGCTGCTGGGAGGACTTGTGTTGGGAGGACTTGTGCTGCGAGGACTTGTGTTGGGAGGACTTGTGTTGGGAGGACTTATGTTGGGAGGACTTGTGCTGGGAGAACTTGTGTTGGGAGGACTTGTGTTGGGAGGACTTGTGCTGGGAGGACTTGTGCTGGGAGGACTTGTGCTGGGGAGGACTTGTGCTGCTGGGAGGACTTGTGCTGGGAGGACTTGTGCTGGGAGGACTTGTGTTGGGAGGACTTGTGCTGGGAGGACTTGTGTTGGGAGGACTTGTGCTCACTCTAGTGGTAGAATGCGGCACTGTGGCAAAAATAGAAAATATTTTAGAGTTTAATAAATTAAAGCGAATCTACACCTTAAAAAAATATCTGGGAAATCTGATAACATTGTTTGAGATTTGAGAGGACATAAGATTTCCATCAGGATCAACTCGCACTTGCATAGACAAAGAGCAGGAACATATCTGATGGGACTTTAATTGAGGTACAACATTTGCATAAAAAAATGTATTGCACAATATATGGAAATCTTTTTTTACATAAATAAAGCAATTTATAAAAAAAGGCCAAGCTGATTTGTGAACACTGCCATATATTGGTATACAATCTATACGATAGTCACATAATATATGAAAGAGGAGCCGCACGCCGTGACGTCACGCCGCCGGATCATTAAAATGTCTGGAGGCCATCTTTGCTTACCAGCTGGTCAGTGTATTAGGCAGCTTTACGCTGCATTTGCTCCTTACGGATGCTTTGGATTTTCATTTAATCTCTGCACACATAAACCTTTTTAAAATACCAAATGACTACACTATGGGCACCCTTCTTTTTTGCTCTGCACTGAGCATTTAAATCCTCAGGAACCCAGGTGACCATCCCAGTGTTCAGAGGAGGGAGATCCGCATCAGGCTATATTCCATCCCACCTTAAAGGGGACCTCTGGCTGACCTCTTACTACCCCAGACTCCAGAGGAGGGTTAATTATTCCAGGCTGTATTCCATCCCACCATAGAGGGGACCTCTGGCTGATTACAACATATTAATACACTGCGCATTTAAAATGTGCATCTGGTGAGTGTGCATTTTTACTATATCCTGAACGTCACTGGAATATTTGGTTGTATACCACTGAGATTACAAGATTGATTTATATCCAGATTACTGATATTTATTGGGACTCCTATAATTCCATTATCTGGGCAATAACCATTTATTCATTATTTGAATTATTTATTATTATTACTTATGGTATTAAGTTATTTAGCATTTGTCTCTGGATAATAAGCACTTTATTCAAGTATTATTTAGCACTTTATTTATTCTGGAGATTATACAGATATTTATCAAATCAATTTTAGCGCTGCACGTTTACATATTTGACTTGACATAATAATACATGTATAAACTCCATTTTTTCAAGTATTTCACAAAACATAATAATGGCTCGATGCGTTTCGTGACAATACTCTCGCTTCTTCAGGAGCAGATGAGATTATTGTTACAAAACGCATCGAGCCAAAGGATGTACCCATTATTATGTTTTGTCAAATACTTAGAAAAATGGAATTTATGCATGGATTATTATGTGACTATCGTATAGATTGTATGCCGATATGTGGTAGCATTCACAAGTCAGCTTTCCTTTTTTTAATAATTTGCTTTATTTATGTAAAAAAGATTTTCATCTATTGCGCAATAATATTTTAATTCAAAAGTTGTGCCTTATTTAACCCCTTGCCTACCGGGCACTTATACCCCCTTCCTGCCCAGGCCAATTTTCAACGTTATCGCACTTTGAATGACAATTGCGCGGTCATGCCACATTGTACCCATATGACATTTGTATCTTTTTTTTCACACAAATAGAGCTGTCATTTGGTGGTATTTAATCGCCGCTGGGTGTTTTATTTTTTTGCTTTATAAACAAAAAAAGAGCAAAAAGTTTCTGTGTTTCTATTTTAAAATTTTGCAAACAGGTAATTTTTTCTCTTCACTGATGTGCGTTGATAAGGCTGCACTGATAGGCAGCACTGATGGGCACTGATAGGCAGCACTGATGGGCACTGATGAGTTGGCACGGAAAGGCAGCACTGATGGGCACTGATAGGCACCACTGATGGGCACTGATGAGTTGGCACGGAAAGGCAGCACTGATGGGCACTGATAGGCAGCACTGATGATGCTGCACTGATAGGCAGCACTGATGGGCACTGATAGGTGGCACTGATGGGCAGCACTGATGGATGGCACAGACTAATGGCAATGCCTGGTGGCACTGCTTGGCAGCACTGCTGAGTGGCACTGATGGGCACTGATGGAAGGCACTGCTGGGCACTAGTGGGTGGCACTGCTGGGAACAGGTGGGTGGCATTGTTGGGCACTGGTGGATGGCACTGCTAGCCACTGATGGGATCAGGTGAGTGGCACTGCTGGGCACTGATGGGTGGTACTGGTGGGTGGCACAGGGGGGCGGCACTGATCATCAGTGCCAATCTGTACTCTGACAATTGCCAGTTGTCAGCAGTACTTTCCTCACGCTGACACAGCATGAGGAAAGTGCAGCCAATAACTGGCAACTGTATTTACCCGGTGATCTGCTGTGTCATTGGACACAGTTGATCACGTGGTAAAAGACCACTGTGATTGGCCTTTTACCACATCACATGATCAGCTGTGTCCATAAGACACAGCGATCACGAAGATCACCAGGTGCATGCTGCTGGGGCACTATTCCTCCCAATGATATGAGACACTATTCTGCCAACAACAATGGGGTGCTATTTCTCCCCCTAATACCTAATGTGGCGATATTTACTCCCACCGATGCCAGGAAAATTTCCTGTTGTTTTTGTATGTTGGCTCTAAAACTGTTCAGTAACTCATGGAGCAATAAGAACTCACTAGGCCATAGTAATACATAAATCATTTTATTTTTGTTAATGAAAAGTGTATTTTGAGAAGGTACTCACCAGGAGGTGTAGGTTGAAAAGTTGCATTCGTTGAGTTCCTTGTTTGGGGACTTGTGCTCACGCTAATGGTAGAACGTCGCACTGTGGAAAAAATAGAAAATATTTTTGAGCTCAAAGCAATCACCTAAAGTGTATCTGAACCTAAAAAATTAAAAAATGAATATATGGGAAATCTGTTTGAGATTTGAGAGGACGTAAGATTTCCATCAGGATCAACATGTATTTATTTGTACTTGGAGAAATGTACTTAGTTTGAAAAAAGAAAATGAATGCAGCCAACATTTCTAAGGACTGGTGATCTGCAATATATTACGGTTTTGTTTTTGGGTTCAGATATTCTTGGAATGAATGGCCCCCAATACAAACATGTGAACCAGGACTGGCATTATGGCATAGTTAATAAGATGATATTCATAAGTACTGAATCAGGTTCACAGATAAGACCCATATCCATGGACTTAGCAATGAATGCTTCCTTCTGATCTCTTCACCAATTCATTGCATTGATTATTTGTAACTTAATGACAAGTTTTCCTAATTACATACAGTTTTGTGGTCACAGGGGCGGACTGACAACTCATGGGGCCCCCCCTGACAGTAGGGGATCATGGGTTCCCTGTGTCCTTGCCCACACTCAAACCACACCCAAAAAAGCCTATGAAAAAGCCTATAAAAGGTACCAGGGGCATCTCATGGGGCCACCTACTGACCCTGGGCCCTCGGGCAGTGCCCAAGGGCCCCAAATAGTCAGTCTGCCCCTGTGTGGACATGAAGGGCTTGAAGCTCCACTCCAAGCAGAGGCTGAAATGTTTCTCTGCCTTTGTCTAGGAGATGGGAGCAAGCATCAATTCACTATAAACCAAGCCCAGTGCTAGCAGAATATGGTGAATTATGTGGCCTCGGCTAGCGGTACTCCAGTCACACCCCTCCCCCCAGCCTCCCCCGGGAATGGCGCTGGCTGAGTCCACATAATTCAACATATTCAATTAGCACTAAGCCTGGTTTTGATTTGTGTGGACAGTTGCAGAACTATCAATCGATCTGAACTCTACCCAGCCGTGTTCTAGGGATTCTGGTAGATATTTACGTCTTCTGCAATCTACATATTTATTTGGTAAGCTCCCAATTTTTGGTGTATTTTCAACTCCCTCCATATCTTTTGGTTTTTTTACTATTTCAGTTTTCATCGGCGAATTGTAGCATTTTATTAGTACCTGAAGAAGTGGTTGGAGGTCCAGCTGTGTTGTTTGGTGAAGCCGTGGTCCAGTTTGTTGCCGTTTCATTTGAGTCATCTGAAAAAATAAGGAAACTACATAAGCCAGGGTTTCTCCACCAGGATTCCGTGGAACAATGGGGTTCCTCCAGAGGTTGCTAGGGGTTCCTCAAGACTTTGCTAGGGGTTCCTCAAGAGTTTGCTAGGGGTTCCTCCAGAGGTTGCTAGGGGTTCCTCAAGAAGTTAATAAGGGTTCCTTGAGCAATGAGTAATTTCTGCCTCTCAAATAAGTTCCCACTGACAATATTGAGTCTTCCCAATGACCACAAGTGTAAGGAGCATTCTTCCCACTGACCATCACACTAATATATCATGAGTTGTAGATATAGTCATTTTTAGCAGGAGTTCCCTCAGACTTGAAAGTTATCTTAGGGGTTCCTCTGTCTCGAAAAAGGTTGAGAAAGACTGACATAAGCTAACCCCTTTCCCATTAAAAAAGGTACTTGAAAGCAAAGATCAAAGAGATGCCTCTACAGTCTTTCCTAAAATAATGGATATTTGTTAGAATTATAGTTTGTTGATGTATCATTGGTGATCATGGGCAAAAGCGGCATCGGAAAATCACCCAGACCCACATGAGTCCAGCCATTCATTAGATTCACCCAAAGGATTCCAAATGGTCCAATCTTAGAGGTAGACACAGTTCACTTATACAAAGTAACATAGTATAATGAGTTGAAAAAAAGATATACACCCATCAGGTTCAACCAAAAGACAAAATAAAAAAAAATGGAAAACTCTACAGAGCCCTCAGCTCACCGTTGACCCAGAGGTTATAAAGCTAATAACTCCCTGGATTAAGAGTCTATGGAGTTATTAAATGATATATAATTCCCCTTGCACATGGTTGATATATGCAACATGAAGATAGTGTTACCTTATTAACCAAGCTTGGAGAGCATTCATGTTAAAGATGAACATTCTCCACTCCTTAATAAATTACCTCTTAGTGTCCCATATGGAATAAAAAATATTTTTTCAATATTTATTTGTAATATTTGTTGCAAAGATTATGAAAGCTGGGCATAGAAGTTTGATTGGTTTGGGTTCACTACTTGATGAAAATTAAACAAGGAAGGATAATGGTCCCAAACAATGGTGATGGTGAACCTTCTACATCATTGATGATAATGAATAATTATAAGATAGTCTATCAGACAATTCCAAGCAGAATTTACCCCTTACCAATAGTTCCACTGGCATCTTCGGGATGTAGTTGGTCCACCTTAAATGCCCAGCGTCCAGTAAAGTTCACGTTACTTGTGTTGGCTAAATTGGCAATGCCTAATGAAAGGGATCCTGGCAGTGTGTAGTATCCTGTGTCATATTTCCACTGTTCAGTCCAGCCTGTGAAACAAAAGGACACATTATATTATAACAAGCAGTGTGTGGAAAATCTTTCAATGGGGACACATGCTCTAGTGCAGCAATGGGCAAACTACGGCCCGCGGGCCGTATACGGCCCGCGGGCGGACCTTTTAATCCGGCCCGCGGAGCTAGGCTCCCGCTAGGCTCCTCTCACAGTCCGCCCTGAAGACCGGTGTAGCATGAAAATCTGTCTCCTATGAGGATCTGTCCCCCTCGACGTATCTGCGCATGTGCCGGAGATCGCCGATCGGCTGCTAATGCCTGAAACTGGCACATGCGCAGATACATCGAGGGGGGCAGATCCTCATAGGAGACAGATTTTCATGCTACACCGGAACGGCACGGGAACACGGCGAGAGGAACGCGCGGAGCAAAGGTAAGTGAATTGACACAGGGGGGACTTGGGGACTTAATATGGGGGATGAATTAATATGGGGAATGAATTACTATAGGGGGGATGAATTACTATAGGGGGGATGAATTACTATATGGGGGATGAATTACTATGGGGGATGAATTACTATATGGGGGATGAATTACTATGGAGGATGAATTACTATATGGGGGATGAATTACTATATGGGGGATTAATTTCTATATGGGGGAATTACTATGGTGGATGAATTACTATATGGGGGATGAATTACTATATGGGGGATGAATTACTATGGGGGATGAATTACTATATGGGGGGTGAATTACTATATGGGGGATGAATTACTCTATGGGGGATGAATTACTATATGGGGGGTGAATTACTATATGGGGGGTGAATTACTATATGGGGGATGAATTACTATGGGGGATGAATTACTATATGGGGGATGAATTACTATGGGGGGTGAATTACTATATGGGGGATGAATTACTATGGGGGATAATTACTATGGGGGATGAATTACTATATGGGGGGTGAATTACTATGGGGGATGAATTACTATATGGGGGATGAATTACTATGGGGGATGAATTACTATATGGGGGGGATGAATTACTATGGGGGATGAATTACTATATGGGGGGAGTGGCAACTTTCTAAGATGAGAATATCCCTCATGTTGGAGAGATTTCTATTGCATCTCCAGGATCTCCCCAGCAGGACATTTACAGCAAAAACTATTCCATGTTCTAAGTCCTTCCTACTCCTAAACCTAAAAAGAAAAGATAAGGTAAAATAATTAGTGAGCTTCAAAAAAAGTAATTTTAACTTTGCTTTACCGGCACACAAGGCACTAGGACTATATGAGACAAATCCCAGAGCACCGTGGGCCAACTAATGAGACAGCACACTGCCTGACTTTTGGCTTGATTTGTCTGATTGAAATATCAGAGGATGCTATCCAATAAGGAAGAAGTCACTCCTCTCAGTCATTCACTTATCTGTTTAAAGTATCTGTATGCTCTAACAATGGACATCTGTTATTTGCTCCTTTTTGGTCTGTTAAATTACTCATTAAAAGTGCTTTGTTTTATGTGTTCGATAAGTATAAAAAAATCAGTTGATCCTGCCAGAAATCTAGTACAGCCCTCTGTCCTGCACTCTGTGCAGTGTCACCTTAAATTGTCAGGATCTGGATCACCTGCTGGTAGCACTTTGCTGCCCAGGGTGGAAGGTTGTATATAGTTACATAGTTAGTCTGGTTGAAAAAAGACAAAAGTCCATACAGTTCAACCATTAAAAAAAAAAAGTTATAATCCTCCACCCACAGTTGATCCAGAGGCAGGCAAAAAAAAAACCCCAGGAAAGCAAGATCCAATTTGCTCCTGCAGGGGAAAAAATTCCTTCCTGACCCTGAGAGACAATCACATATTCCCTGGATCAACTTTATCTATAAATGTTATATTCAGTTATATTCTGAGTATCTCAGAAAGAATCCAGGACTTTCCTACAGCAATCCACTGAGCTGGCCAGAAACAACTCTTGAGGAAGTCTATTCCACTTTCTCACAGCTCTCACTGTGAAGATGTTGTAGTTCTGGTGCCACCAGTGGGGTGTCTGCCAGCAGCC